CACCTACACCATCACCATCTACCTCTTTATGATTTCTTATCTATTGCACATCTCCAGTCATTGTTTACTCGTCTGTATTGTTTACATTCAAACTGTCTACATGTTTACTTGCACATTGTCTACTGTTCGTTTGTATATTGTCTTGATGCACTGTTTGCACTTTGTTTTCTTTTTTACACTTGTTTTTACAATCAAGAGACTTTCTCTAAGTAAGAATTACATTGTACCAGTAACGGTTACATATGGCAATAAAGTTCAAGTTCAAGTTCTGTACATTTAATTCCATCGCGATTGCGAATGCAAGCGAATGCCGCCGAAGTGGATTGTGGGTGTTGTAGTTCTTAGTATCTTTCTGTAACTCCAAATGTGATGCGGTTAAGCTGCGACTTGCTGGACTCCGTGTGAAAGGACGATAGAACTTGGAGAATGAGTTCAAAAAGAAGGCAACAGGACGATGAGACACAGGATCGGGATAAGAAGAAAAAGAAGGAAAGGCGAGAAGCGTCAGCGGAGCTTTTTAAATTGATTGAAGACGCGGAGGTTAAAGACAGAACAAGGGAGGCGTGGAGTAAGAAAGAGTGCTTTTCACATGGTGAGTGCGGCTGGCTGGCACCGGGGTCCGGAGCGCACTGTGTAACTGCGTGTACCGTGTAAGCCAGCAGTTCACTATCGTATATCTCATAGGGACTACACCGTTATTATCGGTGGCGTTGACTTGGACACCCCCAGCCTTATGGACACCCTTTAGCTTTAGGATAAGACCTTTTTGCTTTCAGTGCGCAGCTTAATGTTTTCATTTCGCCCTGTAAAGCGCCCAGTTCTAAGCCGCTGCTTTCTCCGGCAGGGGGACAGATCGAGCTGGACTGCCAGCCCTTCCCGCACTGCGTGATCCGCAACTTCCTCCAGAGCCAGAGCTTCCTGGAGGGTCTTCGGCAGGAGCTTCTGGATCTCAGCTTCCAGGAGAAGTCCAACGACCTGTACAAATTCAAACAGGTACAAAGAAGAGGAGTACATAGAGACGCGCTGGTCTGCGATCCCAGTGGCACCGCAACAGATTCAAACACTGGGATGATAAAGCCACTCTGCATGTCTGTCTTTCTGTGAACCTATGTCTGCCTGTCAGGTTCTGAGGACTGAGCAGTTAAAACGTCCTGTTTTTAATTTGACAGTCGGGTGACTTGAAGAAGAGGAACGATGCCCACATTGCCAGTTTAAGGTGAGCTCTGAGCACTCCGAGGCAAGCTTGTAACCCATGTGAAAACGCGCTACACCGAGGAGCTGCTGGAGACGTGACGCGTCTGCCCGTGTGCTTCCTCAGGTCCGCACTGTTCCAGCAGTTCCGCTCCTGGCTGTCAGACGTCCTGCAGGTGGAGCTGGAGGCCACCGTGGACATTTCCTGTGCCCAGTACGAGTACACAGGTGGGGGGTCGCGATGCTGGCACGCGCGTGCCCTGGGCGGGTGGAAGAGATCCTCAGCCGCTGGGCTCAGGAAGGGCCGCGTCTGTCTTCCGCCTCCCACGAGTCTTTGTGTCCCCTGCAGATGTGCTGCTGTGCCATGACGACGAGCTGGAAGGGAGGAGGGTAGCCTTCATTCTCTATCTGGTCCCTCCCTGGGACAGCAGTGACGGAGGCACTCTGGACTTGTACGGCACAGACAGTAAGAGTCCAAGAGACCGGGGACACTTGGCTGTGGCTTTAAATCTGCTGGGGGCCAAATTGCAGTTTTCTATCACTTTTGTATTCATTGTTTTCAGGGAATTATCAGCCCGAGCAGATAGTGAAGTCCTTGGTGCCCTCGTGGAACACCTTAGTCTTGTTTGAGGTCTCGCCAGTCTCCTTCCACCAGGTGAGGTGTGGACTCGCTCCTCGATGTCTCCCTTCAGCCCAGCTGCAGCGTGAGGGATAGGAGCACAGTGCAGGGGAGGAAGCACGTGGGCAGAGCAGTTTAGACCTCTCTAGCTCATTAGGTTGCTCGTTAGCTGATTGATGGCAGAATCTCACCCATCTTTCTGCTGAGGGATGCCCAGAATAATAATAATAATAAT